GGGTTTTGCCCTGTTGCCCAGACTGGTCTCAAATTCTTATGCTAAAGTGATCCACCTGCCTCAGCCTCCCAAAGTGCTAGGATTATAGGCGTGAGCCAATGTGCCTGGCCAGAATAAATTTATTTATTGTAATTATAGTCTCATTTGAAATAATACTTAAATTTGTTCTAAACTAAGATCTATTTAATCTACGTTTGAGCCATTAAAAAGCATAGCATTGGCCAGGCACAATGGCTCATGCCTGTAATCTCAGCACTTTTGGGAGTCTGAGGCTGGTGGATCACTTGAAGCCAGGAGTTTGAGACCAGCCTGGCCAACATGGCAAAACCCCATCTTACTGAAAGTACAAAAATCAGCCAGGCGTGGTTGTGCATGCCTGTAATCCCAAGCTACTTGGGAGGCTGAGGCAGGAGAATCTCTTGAACCCACAAGGTGTAAGTTGCAGTGAGCTGAGATTTCGCCACTGCACTCCAGCCTGGGTGACAGAGCGAGACTCTGTCTCAAAAAAAAAAGCATGGCATGATGGGAGCCGTGTGAATAATTAACAAAACAAGATCTCTTATTTTCCAGGGTATACACAGGAGGAGAAGATAGAGATTGCCCATAGGCACTTGATCCCAAAGCAGCTAGAACAACATGGGCTGACTCCTCAACAGATTCAGATCCCTCAGGTCACCACTCTTGACATCATCACCAGGTTAGTTAGCCATCCTGAGGCTTCATTAACTCCAGGCATGTTTCGGGTATTTAGTGAGTTACCAAAGGACAGAGAGTATCAATATTTGAGTTTTTCATCTTTTGAGGTATGTCACAGTCTCCTGAAAAGGAGATTATTTTATTGGCATCCCATAGCATCTTTTCTCTTTCTTCAGCAACTTCCAGCAGGCAGTATATAACTATTGATTTACACGGTTCTCTATACTAGGCAGAAGTTTACAGAGAAACCATTTGGAATAGTTACAGCTAAAGCTGTAACAATTTATAGGAATTTATGCTTTGCCACAATAGCGGTATAAGGGGTTAATTTGATAATTTAAAAACCAAAATACATGGCAAATATAGAGACACTTTTTATGCCCAGGATCTTGAAAGTTGTTGAATTATCTTAAGAGGTGATACAGTATGCTACTTTCAGATATCTGATATAAGTTACTGTGTTTTCTTTTCTTCTCTTTGGCTGAGAGATTTTTAAAGTCCTTGGAATTTTGATCTTCAGAACTAACATTGGAACAATAGAGAAGGTACCTTCCCAAGCTTAGTACCAAATGCTTAAGCCTGTAACAAGCAGTGAGTAAATTATCTGAATAGAGCATTGCTTAGTCTAATTTATCGATTCCCTGTTTGAATGGAAAATATACTCTGTTGAGCATTTATATCCATCACAGTCTCTTACAGTTTTCCTGGCTCAGCATTACAGATCCATTGCATCATCCAGCAAGTGGTGTCAGGCTGCCAGGCTCTCCTCATGCGGTCCTTTTCTAGTAACTACTGTTTTTAAGAGATGTGAAGTATCACTCTATTTTGAACTTTACTTAGAGTTTGGCCATACTGCCTTGTGATCTATGCCTTCTTATGGATCTATTTGGATTTATATACAAAACAATAAGACTACGTCTTACCTGAGGGTTCCTTTTCTTGGTTTGTTTTGTGATTTGCTGTGTGGATAATGCCAGGAGAAATAAATTAGGTGATCTATATGCCTGAGTCTTCCAACAATATCATTATTCCAGATAACACCCATGATGCCTTTGGGTAACAATCAATAAGTCATTTAACCTATTTGATAGCTTTCCCATCTGTAAAATATGAGGGATGGAGAAAAATCCAAAGCTTATCTGAATAATAATGATTCTGAAGAGTGATCATTATTTATATTTCCCTATTGTTGTCTGGAGAACTATTTCTTTTTTTTATATACTTGTTAACGTAGAATATCAGATCTTAAAAGCTATGGACATAAGGAAATCTCTGAGCAGTTTTGTTAGTTTTGATATTGTTTTTAAAAACAGCACAAATATTTAGTACTCCAGTTACCAAACTTAGGATATAGAGTATCAGTATTTGAGTTTTTCATCTTTTGAGATATGTCACACTCATAGACCCTAATGTTCTAGTCTTTCTTATCTCCAACTATAACTCACCTACTTGAATACTTCCAGTCCCAGTATCCTTAATGCTAGCTAATAACTACCTCTTCGTGAGTAATTCTAATTGTTACAAAGATTTTTTTATTTTTTATTATTTTTTTTAAAGACAAGTTTTCACACTGTTGGTCAGGATGGAGTGTAGTGGGGTGATCTTGGCTTACTGAAACCCCCGCCTCCCAGGCTTAAGCCATCTTCCCACCTCAACCCCTAAGTAGCTGGGACCACAGGCATGAGCTGGGACCACAGGCACGAGCTGGGCATGGTGGCGTGTGCCTGTAATCCCAGCTACTCAGGAGGTGGAGGCACGAGAATCGCTTGAACCAGGGAGGTGGAAGTTGCAGCGAGCCGAGATCGTGTCACTGCACTCCAAACTGGGTGACAGAGCAAGACTCCGTCTCAAAAAAAAAAAAATGTTTAATTTTTTTAGTAGAGATGGGTCTCACCATTTGGCCAGGCTGGTCTGGAACACCTGACCTCAAGTGATAATTGTTACAAAGCTAATCTTTCTATTCACTTTCTATAATTTTCTTCTTCTGCCTTATAGGAACACCTGGAACCTAAGTGTCATTCCTCCTTGTACAGCCCTTCTGACATTAGAATAAAATACTATCAGTTCTGCACACTAAGTGTTGTCTTCTTCAAGCTAACCATTCCTATCCTCTGTACCACTCCTCTTGATGTAGTTTCAAGAATTCTCACCTTCCTGATTAGTCTTCTTCTGAAATAATCCTGTATGTCAATGTGCCTTTTAAAATTAAACACTCAGAATTGAGCAGTGTTTCAGATAGAGTCTAAACAGTTCCTGGTATAGGAAGACCATGCTTTTCTTATTCTGACTATATTGTTTTATGACTATATCTCTAGATTCATAGCTTTTTAAAGATTTTTCTCTGCCCTTTTTCATTGAATTTCATCAAACTCGGCACATCCCATTTTGTATTTATACAGTTGAATTTTTTAAAGCTCAAATGTAGAAGTTTTTGAGATGCCTCCCTGTTTTCTTCCTATTGAAATTATATGTAGTTGCATAATATAGACTTTATATCTTTCTATACCTTTGACTGAAATGAGTTTTAGAGTGTTTAGCTAAGAGTTTTATATCTGTCTTTTCTCAGAACTTTTAAAATCTGCTTTCCTAACGTCTACAGTGTATGTCTGACTTAATCAAATATATGGCTTAGTCAGATCCAATTCTTAAGATAAAGCTGCATCCTCCACCTGATCCTGTCTGTCCAGATCCATTCAAAGCTGAGTGGCCAAAAGTGGTTATACTATATAATGGCCTGTGGAATGACGTAATGGAGTTTGATTCTAATGTGCATGTTTTTAAAGCATCTCTGCTTAACCACATGTAGAGTCTTTTTCACAGAGTCACAGTGCTTTCATCACTTAGCTACCTTCTTCCTTCAGAAATCTTCACAATGAAAATACACTGAAGAAAGGCGGTTAGCAAAGTGCCTAGTGAAAACCAGATTTCTGTCTTAGATTTGTTTTTGTTTTAGTTCCACAGAACACAATTTATCTGATTCTTTCAGCAATATTTCAAGTACAATAAATTGATCTAGAATTTTCCTAAATTGACAAATTTTGTTTAAGAAAACTCTTCAACAAATTACCAAGAAGTAAATGGTTGTTTATATGCTGCCAAATTTACTTTGGTAATGTAAATTGAACTTAGAACTAGGGTTCATTTTTAAGCATAGGGTTATAATTCAAGGCAATCTGTATAAAGGAAATAGTAGTAGTTGAAAATCCATCTAAGTATTGAAGAAATAACAATAATGAGGAGTTTTACGTGTGCAGAAGTTAGTACTCAAGAAATGAATGTTTAAATATATGCTGTTTCTTTAGTAAAAATGTTAATAACATTACTTCTGTCTATTTTTTTTAGGTGGCGTATAGCCAAAAATAAAATATATTTCTTTGATGACAGGTATACCAGAGAGGCAGGGGTTCGTTCTCTGGACAGAAAACTTGGGGCCATTTGCCGAGCTGTGGCCGTGAAGGTGGCAGAAGGACAGCCTAAGGAGGCCAAGTTGGAACGCTCTGATGTGGCTGAGAGAGAAGGTTAGTGACCTTGTTCTGGCGTTCTCAAGCTTAGTAGCTAGGAGTGAGTGACAGAAGAAGGTTGGATATGGAGGGGAAGGTGTTGGGTAGTCCTTGGAGCAGTGGCACACATTACTCCACCGTTAAATACATCCAGTAAGTAATACTTTAATATTTCAATATATTTCATCAAGAGGATTGTCATTTACAAATAGCACATAGTTTTAACTGTAATAATAATAAGAATGCTTTGAGGATACAGTAACTATATTAGGATTCTCTAGAGGGACAAGACTATAGGATATGAAGAGGAGTTTCAGAAGTATTGACTCACACGATCATATGGTGAAGTCCCACAGTAGGCCATCTGCAGGCTGAGGAGCAAGGAAGCCAGTCCAAGTCCCAAAACCTCAAAAATAGGTAGGCCGACAATGTAGCCTTCAGTCTGTGGCTAAAGCCCCAAGAGCCCCTGGAAAACCACTCATGTATGTTCAAAAGTCCAAAAGTTGAAGAACTTGGAGTCTAATATTCGAGGTCAAAAAGCATCCAGCATGGGAGAAAGCTGAAGGCCAGAAGACTCAACAAGTCTCATCCTTCCATCTTCTTTTGTCTGTTTTACTCAGTCATGCTGGAAGCTGATTAGATGGTACCCACCCATATTGAGGGTGGGTCTTCCTCTCCCAGTCCACTGACTCAATTGTTAATCTTCTTTGACAGCATCCTCATAGGCACACCAGAATAATACTTTGCATCCTTCAATTCAATCAAGTTGACACTCGATATTAACCATCACAGTAACTTTATCTAGATGTATAATAATGGTGTACATCATGTATAGGTTCTAGTGTTATCTTACTTCTTTCTGACCCAGACAGTTAAGTTTTTAAATAATTTATAACATAAAAAAGTTTTTACAACATTAGAAAATCCATGCTGTTGAAGTACCTTTGTACTCTGGAATAGCAGCATGTGTAATAATTTTTTCACATGTTTTCTTTTATAGGTGAACAATTAAATGTAATTTAATTGTTAATTATTTCTTCTTAAAACATTATTGTGGAGGTGGTGAGATGAGGAGAGTTCTATTACTAGAATTAATCAAATGTGGACATTCCTTTGGTGTGCCCACTTAAAATGTTTTAACTGGCTGGGCACAGTGGCTCATACCTTTAATCCCAGCCCTTTGGGAGATTGAGGCAGGCAGGTGACTTGAGGTCAGGAGTTTGAGACCAGCCTAGCCAACATGGTGAAACCCTGTCTCTACTAAAAATGCAAAAATTAGCCAGGTGTGGTGGCGGGCACTTTTAGTCCCAGCTACTCCGGAGGCTGAGGCAGGAGAATCACTTGAGCCCAAAAGTCAGAGGTTGCAGTGAGCAAAGATTATGCCACTGCACTCCAGCCTGGGCAAGGGAGCAAAACTCTGTCTCAAAAAAATAAGTAAGTACATAAATTCTAGTCAGCCATCTTGGCAAAAAAGAGAGAGAGAAAAAAAAAATACAAAAAATAAAGTGTTTTAATTTCTTGCCCCAAAACTGTAAGGGGTCTCAGTTCATCATACCATGCTGTTACATAGTTTGCCAAAACTTGCTTTAACAAACATGAGTAGTAGGAAATTGACAATTTCTTTCATAGTAAAAGAGATGTATTAGATTTTTCTACCATTTCCATAGCTCTTTCCAGAAAGGATTTGGATGACTACGATTAAAGAACTGTAATTTATGGTGGGCCCAGTTGAACAGACGCACCCAAACATCTTTCCTGTTTTTCCTTCAGTTGCTGAACACTGTGCATTTTACAGCAGTAGCATCAGAGTCAGCTTTCACAGAATCCTCCTGTGGCCAGTACAGTGCTTCACCCCTACTCCCCCTGTGCCTGGAACCTCACTGGTTCATTTTCTCCAGAGAGTGAAGCTCCTATCTTCTGTTGGGTTGGAGAGGGGCAGTGTCTTTATTATGTGGGGTAGGAGTAGCGGTAGTGAGCTCTAATTGTTTTTTATCCAGACATTAAAACTGTTGCTTTATTTTTACTTTTATTATTTTTATTTTATTTTATCTTTTGAGATGGAGTCTTGCTCTGTCACCTTAGCTGGGGTGCAATGGCGCAAGCTCGGCTCACTGCAAACTCCGCTTCCCAGGTTCAAGCAATTCCCGTGCCTCAGCCTCCCCAGTAGCTGGGACTATAGACGTATGCCACCACACCTGGATAATGTTTATATTTTTAATAGAGACAGGGTTTCACCATGTTGACCTCAGGTGATCCACCCGCCTCAGTCTCCCAGAGTGCTGGGATTATAGGCGTGAACCAATGCACCTGGCTTTATTTTTATTTTTATTTTTACTCTGCCTTGGGAGAATCTGGAAAACTTTTGCCATTTGTCCCACTTTTCACCCATGCTTTCAGGGCTACCTTGAATTCCTTAGCTTTTGTAGACTTTTATGGCTTACATCAACTTATTGTTCTCTACCTCTAGCCCCACAGACATTGAGGTTTCTGCTTTCTCTGGCCTGTTAGTGTTTGTTACTTTTTGTTCATATACTTTTTGTTTTCCAAAATTTTGTCAGCATCTCTTATCAGCTGTTGTCTTCTTTCCCATTATTTTTGTTCTTGTGGGTTTATATATTTTTTATTTCTTGTCATTTTAATACAATTTGTCATTTAATACAGGAAGTTTAGAGATAAACATATGTTCAGACTACCATTTATAGAAATTTGAATTTTAAAAAAATGTTCTAGGTGAGGGAGTATCTATCAAGGGTGGAAATCACTGTTGTAGATGACAATGACAGTGGAGAACTGAGGTCTATAAAAGTTAAGACCTAGGTCTAGATGCCCCTGAATTTCCCCTTTTTATTCTTACACTTCCTTTGTGCTGTGATCTCAAGCAACTGAGCCTATGTCTTTTTGTTCTTGTCTGCGATATAACATAAGGTAGAGGATGAAATGAATTTATTAGATAACACATTTTGAAAATTGCGTTTAAGATTTAGATGATGTATTTTAGAACTTATAATAATACACTCAGAGGAATTCAATGTCAAGCAAAACTTTTGCATTATTATACATTGCTTAATGTTTATACATATATCCATTAGAATATTTCTAACAGTATCTTTGATTATACTAGCTATTTTTAAATAACCCACAAATACTAAAGGAATTGTTCAGTTTGTGAACTGTGTGAGATCTATGGTTTTTCATGGTAATATTTATTTGTGTGGTTTTTAAAATATGTAATCATAGAACATCTTCTAAATGATAATGTAATTAAGCAGATTTGCTTGGTTAAGATATTAGCAAGAGCATTCCAGATGAATAGGTAGAATAAATACTTGTCTCTTGGAGATGACTCTGGGTGTAGTCTTTACTAGAGGCACAGGTATGGACTCTAAGTTGGCTCTCATGTTATGATATACCCTTAAGTAAGTAACAACCATTCTCTAGCCCTTAGTAGAATAATTGTTAGGGGTCCTGAATTGGTGTTTATTGGTCATAAATTTTTTTGTAGAAAAATAATTTCTACAAAAGAGTCTGTGTTAAGTTTTCATAGCACAAAGTTCAAATGGAGCTTAGTAATGAAAAGTTTCTCATTAAGAAATAAATTTAAAATTAGAGTATAAAACAAAACAGTTGTTTTAGAAACTTCAAGTAATACAGTGTGGGAGTTATTTTTAATGTTAAAAATAAAGCTTTCCTAATTCATGCACGAGAGACAGAAAAAAAATAATAATAATAAGGCTGAACTTGGAGTTACTGCCAAGAAGAAAAGTAATTTTGGGCCACAAGCTTCAGAACAGGCAGAAACCTGTGTATCAAACTTTCTGGAATAGGCCCAGAAGCACTGGTCTGTGAACAGTTGTCTTTGTATTTGTGGGGTCTTAACTGGCAGTTAAAGAGACTAAATAATAGCAGGGAATTTAAAAAGTGGGTGAGATTTAGAGTTGATAGATCTGTGTTAGAGGAGGAACATTTATGGTTTCAGTCGCTTACCTATAAAGTATGAGAATTGTTTCTTTAAAAGAATGCTGCCTCTGTTTTTCTGCATGTTGTTAGTATTTTCTGAATTGCCCTTTTCCTTTCTAGGGTATTTGTTGGGTTGAGGAATTAGTTGGATTATATTACTACAGTTTTATTCTGCTTTTTGCCTACCTTTTGCCAAGAAAGACACAAACGTTCCATGTATTTAATTTTTCATTCTTGGGTGTTTCTAAACAGGCTAAATGTTTATTTGTTTAAGTACCCATGTATCATATATGTTCAATTTATATCTAGCAAGATTTTTTCTTGAAAATTATCTTAAGCAAAGAAGGATTCATATTATAATCAGTCTTTCTAAAGTTTCTCAAAATACATAGCATTCTCAATTACTTTATTCTTAAAGAATATAGTATTTATTAGAGGAAGTTACATTAAACAGAAATAACCTTGGTACATATTAGTTTCTGATTATTCTCATAGAAGTCACATGAAAAATTGGTTTAAAAAAAGAATTAATACAAATTTAACAGTTATTCATGAAACGTGTAGATGTTGTTATTCCATTTTGTTGTGCTATAAAGGAATACTTGAGGCTGGGTAGTTTATAAAGAAAAGAGGTTTTTTGGCTCAGAGTTCTGCAGGTTCTATGAGAGGCACAGTGCTAGCATCTGCTTCTGGTGAGGCCTTAAGAAGTTTACAATCATGATGGAAGACAAAGGGAGAGCAGGCATGTCACATGGCGAGAGAGGGATCAAGAGAGAAAGGAAAAAGAGCCAGGCACCTTTTAACAACCAGCTGTCATATGAACTCATTACCTTAGGGAAGGCACCAAACCATTTATCAGGGATCTGCCCCTGTGACCCAAACACTTCCCTCTAACATTGGGAAACAAAGCTATATTAATCAAAAAAGTGCGGTACTGGTATAAAAACAGACACATAGATCAATAGAACAGAATGCAGAAACTGGAAATAAAAATCTACAGCAAACTGATCTTTGACAAAGTAGACCAAAATATACACTGGGAAAGGAAAACCTATTCAATAAATGGTGCTGAGAAAATTGGATAGCCATGTGCAGAAAGAATGAAACTGAACCACTCTCTCTCTTATTGTGTGAAAACCAACTCAAGAGACCAGGTGCGGTGGCTCACACCTGTAATCCCAGCACTTTGGGAGGCTGAGGTGGACAGATCACTTGAGGTCAGGAGTTTGAGACCAGCCTGGCCAATATGGTGAAACCCCATCTCTACTAAAAATATAGAAATTATCTGGACATGGTGGTGCATGCCTGTAATAGGAAAATCACTTGAACCCAGGAGGTAGAAGTTGCAGTGAGCTGAGATCGCCCTATTGCGCTCTAGCCTGGGCGTTGCGCTGAGACTGTCTCCAAAAAAAAAAAAAAAAAATCAACTCAAGATATATTGAAGATTTAAATGTAAAATCTAAAACTAAAACACACTAGAAGAAAATCTAGAAAAATATTCTTCTGAACACTGCCCTAGACAAAGAATTCATGACTAAGACCTCAAAAACAAATGCAACAAAACCAAAAGTAGACAAATAAGACTTAATTAAACTAAAAAACGTTTGAACAGCAAAAGAAATAATCAACAGAGTAAACAGACAACTTGCAGAATGAGCAAAAATGTTTGCAAACTACATATCCAGGAGACCAGTACCCAGAATCTACAAGGAACTCAAACAACTCAACAACAACAGCAGAAAACAAAAAATAACCCCATTAAAAAGTAGGCAAAGTACATGAAAGACATTTTTCAAAAGAAGACTTACAAATGGCCAGGAAGCATATGAGAAAAATGCTCAATATCACTAATCATCAGAGAAATGAAAAATCCACAAGATATCATATTACACCAGTCAAAATGGCTATTTTTAGAAAGTCAAAAAATAACAGATGTTGGTGAGGATGTGGAGAAAAGAGAGTGCTTATATCGTTTTGGGAGAGGTGTAAAGTAGTACCACCTCTATAGAAAACAGTATGGAGAGTTCTCAAAGAACAAAAAATAGAACCTTCATTTAACTCAGCAATCCCACCACTGGGTGTATACCTATAGGAAAATAATCCATTATGTCAAAAAGATACCTGTACACATGTTTGTTTTATCTGATAGAGAAAGTCTGTTTTATCTGATATAAAAAGAATGGAATCATGCCTTTTGCAGCAATGTCGATGAAACCAAAGGCCATAACCTTTAGTGAATAACTCAGAAATTCAGATACGGAATATTCTTGTTTATAAGTGGAAGCCAAATAATGTGTGCCTGTAAACATAGAGTGTGGAATAATTAATAGACATAAGCATGAGCTACCATGCCCAGCCTTAAACAATTTAATTTCCCTCTTCTTTTTTTTGCCCCCCGAGATGGAGCCTTGCTTGGTCACTTGGGCTGGAATGCAGTGGCGCAATCTTGGCTCACTGCAACCTCCACCCCCCAGGTTCAAGTGATTCTCCTGTCTCAGCCTCCAAGTAGCTGGGATTACAGTCCACCACTGCACCTGGCTAATTTTTGTATTTTTAGTAGAGATGGGATTTTACCATGTTGGCCAGGCTGGTCTCAAACTCCTGACCTCAGGTGATCCGCTCACCTCAGCCTCGCAAAGTGCTGGGATTACAGGAGTGAGCTACTGCACCTGGCCTAATTTCCCTCTTAATTTTGTCATTGGCCCAAAAGTTGTCCAGGAGCATGTATTTGTATATTTTTGAGAGTTCCTTTTCGGATTGATTTTTAGTTTTATTCCATTGTGTGAAGATACTTGATATGATTTTGATTTTTTTTTTTAATTTATTGAGACTTGTTTTGTTGCCTAATGTTTGGCCTGTCTTGGAGAATGTCCCATGTGCTAATGAGAAGAATGTGTCTTTTGTGGTCGTTGGGTAGAATGTTCTGTAAATGTCTGTTAGATCCATTTGATTTTAAGTTCAGCGTTTCTCTGTTGACTTTCTGTCCGTCTCCGTGATCTATTAGTGCTCTCTGTGGGGTGTTGAAGTCCCACATTATTATTGTATTGCTATCTGTCTCTTTTCTTAGGTCTAGTAGTATTTGTTTTATTAATCCAGTGCTCCAGTTTTGGGTGCCTGTATATTATATACCTAGGATTATTATATCTTCTTGTTCAGTTGATAGCTGTGTCATTATATACTGACCTTTTTAAAAAAAACTGTTGTTGATTTAAAATCTGTTTTATCTAATGTAAGTATAGCTACTCCTGCTTGCTTTTGGTTTACTTTTGCATGGAAAATTCCACCCCCCACCACTTTACCTTTAGTCTGTGTGTCTTTAACAGTCAGGCAGATTTCTTGTAAGCAGCATATCGTTATTGTTGTTGTTTAATCCATTGCACCAATTTATATCTTTGAAGTGATGCATTCAAGCTTAATACTGATGCATGAGGTTTGTTCCAGTCATAATGTTAATTGCTATCTAATTGCTTTGTAGATTATTTATTTGTTGAGCAAGAGTCTTGCTCTGACACCCAGGCTGGAGTGCAGCGGCACAATCTTGGCTCACTTCAACCTCCACCTCTCAAGTTCAAGCGATTCTCCATCCTGAGTAGCTGGGATTACAGGTGCATGCCACCACACCTAGCTAATTTTTGTCTATTTAGTAGGGACAGGATTTTTCCATGTTAGCCAGGCTGGTCTTGAACTCCTGACCTCAGGTGATCTGCCTGCTTTGACCTTCCAAAGTGCTGGGATTACAAGTGTGAGCCACCACAACTGGCCAGCTTTGTAGATTCTTTGTTTTTTGTTTCCACTTCGTGATTTTCTGGAGTTCTGTCATGTTGCCCTTTGATTAATTTCTTTTCCTTTTTTATATAATTGTTTTATAAAACTTGTGAGTTTCATGTATTTTTATGAAAGAGTAGCAACCTTTTGTTCCCATGTTTAGAACTCCCTTAAGCATTTCTCATAGGACCAATCTAGTGGTGATGAATTCCCTCATTTGCTTGTCTGGGAAACACTATTTTTCCTTCATTTGTGAAGCTTATACTAGCAGGATACAAAATTAGAGTTTGACCATTTACTTTAAGCACTTTGAAAATAGAATCCCAGTCTCTTCTGGCTTCTAAAGTTTCTGCTGAGAATTCCACTGTTAGTTTGATGAAGTTTCCTGTGTAAGTGACTAGACACTTGTATTGTATTTAGAGATTTTTCTTTCACATTGACCTTAGACAGCCTGGTGACTAGATGCTATGGTGA